CTGCGTCTGTGTGTCGGTTAACCGTGAAATCGAAAAGGGTTTCAAACGTCATTGTCGGTATATCCCCCGGTTGTTCGTGATTCAAAATTAAGTAGACTCGACAAGACGACGCGGCGGCGGAATGCCTTTTGTCGCCGCCCAAAAACAGTTTTGGGTCGCACCGAAGTGTGTGATCTGTACAACAATCGATGCACTATCATAACGGAGATCAACAGCTGCTACCTATGTGACCATACTATACTATCCCTGACAACCATAAAGGGCTCATGAATGTTTCTTAAAAGTTATAACTCTGATAATTAGGCGACGTATTATCACGAATCGGTCATGGTTGTCTACGGTAATATATTACCATTCGGCTCCCCCGTTAGTAGGTATAGAGCCTATATACTATTTCATGCCGGCGAGTTACCGCGTAGTTGGATAATTAACATGTTTACCGTTAATAAACACAAGTACATTTTGTTATCGCCGAACAGACAACCGACGAACGGTGGTGGTTCTACTTGTCGGGACTACAATTTGCATGTGAACGGAGCAAACATCCAAACACGCTTAGAACAGCTATTATTATATTATATTAGTGTTTATCGACCGCCCACGCAATATTGCCGACGGCCACGCGATTCATATCTGCTGGGCTGAATCTTAATAAAAAAAATAAAAAATCGCAAGCAGCCCGTTTGAGACAGACAAGCTCTTGATTTTTTTTAGAATACTTGATATTAAATAACAGTTTTTGCTGTACTTTTTTTTTTTTTTATAGAAACCCTTATCCAAGAACCTTAAGTATGAGTTTTTTTTTATCCGTGTTACATTCGTTATGAAATTCTTGCCCAAAATGCAAATACGCATCAAACAAATTATTAATAATGCAGCTTTTATCGCAACTCCACAATCTCATTCGGTATCGCCTAAATCATAATAATTATAATGTAACTTTGATTAATAGGCCACGCCGTCGACCGACATGACGTTCTCGCTCTTATCTAAAAGCACACGTGTAAACATATACTATGTGTGTGTGTGTGTGTGTGTGTTCAATAGTAATAACATAACGTCTACGCACGACAGCGACATAACGATGATAACAATTTAGTGTTATAGTATATGAATAGTGTTGTAGTATATGAATAATTTCCATCCGCGTAGGTATATTGTGGTTATATCAGAAGAGCTCCGGCCTGGACACTAATACAAATAACACTGATATCATAACCATCGCAGGAAAAACAGTGAAGGTGAGGATCGCATGACAGTTGTCCAAAACTAAAATCTTACATTTCCTTATTTACCGAGGTTGTCTGTGTAGTGTAGTGTAAATATCCCGTATGCGAGTATGACAAAATCGGGTCAAACATTACAATCCATCTGTTGTTTTACGGTTACAATATCATTATTCGTTAAATCGAAACCATACACCTACCTATTGATCGTCGACATTATTCTACACCATATGTAAGCTTATGCATATAACGGCGTTGGCGCGTCGTCCGCTGAACTGAACCGAAAGCTTCGGACCTTTTCGGACGTATGGCGGGTCTTATCTATCCGCGTGTCCGGCCTCTTCTTCCTTTCTCTGGTCGTAACGCAACCCTTTTGCCGTTATCCACTCCTCCATTAATTCTGTCGTTTATGTTATTATGCGCTGCCTAAATAGTTTTCGCGCTCTCGACAACGGATTCCGGTTTCTGCACGTGTGCTCGCCATTCACGGTCCAAAGGTAATCTCGGATTATACCTGCATAACACTATCTCTCCTCCCTCTGCATTTATCCGGATTTGATCAACACGTTAATCTTTGTTTTCCGTTCCCGGTTAATATATAATACACACGAACGCGTATACCGGTTGGGCTTAACACTGCCCTATAAACATATCTTACAACTTTGTGATGATTATTACAGCAAATAGGTATTACTGTTTAATATTCAAAGCCGATCCGAAAAGGTAATTTTTCAAATCCCGTTGGCCACTGACGGCCGGTAGATCATCAGTATTCTCTTTCTATGCTGGCTTCGAATTTGTAGAAACCAAAATAACTTTATTTACCTTTTCAGCCGAGTTCTGTTTATTCTTTTCTTCTGAATTTAAATTTAATAACACGTAAAGGCGTTTCGCGAACGTTTTTTTCTATTCAAGTTATTTTTAGATGTCCTCGCTTTCACTGCGTTTCTCGAGGCGTTTCCTTTCTATTTCCTTGGTTTTAATATATTATTATGTATAATGTAATTCGCAAATTTATTTATATTCGATAACATTTCCAGAATAAATTATGGCAATTAAGTTCTGAATTTTAATCGAATTGTTCCGAATAACGTAGGTGTACTATAAATAGTCTATAGTTTAATAAAACACAATTTAGGCGACGACATGTATAATGCCGAGCCAATGAACGAATCTATGAGTTGATCTCCTGAAATTATGGTCATGTATACTTAGAGGTCGTTATTATAATATAAACAAAACGTTGGCAGAAAAAAATACAAAAACTATCTGTAGAATAAAAAAACTTCATTGATATCATTCAAATAGTTTCAAAACTAACCTTTAAGTAAAATATACGTTTATGCAGACTCGATTTTGTGTTTTTATAACTATTAGTAATGAATAGTTATTTAAATATTATTAACAACAAATGTTTGTCCCGTCTCGACTCGTGACAGAAAACGGTGGTGTACAAGATTTCTAGTGCGGGTGTAAATGGTTTTTCTCAGCTCTCTCGCAAAACTATTGCACGGTTGCTCTGTATTTACGGCTAAGTCAGTCCACAAATGCCGAGGTCCGCAACCATTGATCAAGGGCTTCATAGAATACACGGTGTCACACTCACACAGACACACGAAGATGGGCATCGTCGCCGTTTACGGTCCAAAGTTATCTACTAACATATATCAGGGTGTCAGTGTAGTGCCCCTTTGCTAAAGCGAAGTGGTCGAGTTGGCCGTACACCAAAGTGTTTAAACGAAACTTGCTTGTGCAATGTAATGTACCGTGAAAAACTATAGACAAACGTTTATTTATAATTGCTTGGTCGATTGATAAAAAAAAAAACTAAAAGTTACAATACTAAACGAGTGTGTACACTGTACAACTAAACTAGTTTTTTTATTTTTTTCAAGTGGTGTTTTTACGTCGTTCTGGTTACCTTTAAATTGCTAATAAATTTATTACAGCGATGACTAAACACTGTACACATTTATTTATAAAAATTATATGATAACTGAAATCATCTACTCGTTGAGATTTTAAAATTGTTTATATTTTTTTTATTAGTAGTGTATGAAATAATTTCTGCTCTTTCGTTAACTTCCAGAATAGATTCTTTTGTAACAAACTTAATATATTCAGTCCAATTCCAAAATTCTAGTTAACGTTGTTCATTTGTTGATAAAATATTTGAGATTGTTTTTACTTCGAAGAAAAAACATTACGCCACGGAATAAAAAAAAACACATAAATAGAAGGAATTGACAATGATCATAACTTTGGTATTTGTTCATACATTTTCTCCAATAGCAGCTTGTTTTCTTTGTAAAAGGGCCAACTCCGTGTAAAAAATGAAAAAATGGCACATTTTTGGGATTTCTAATTTTTTCTGTTGATTCATTTCATTGAATACGTGACATTTATTTTATTAAGAAAAAATTATTTTTTTCCTATATTTCGATAGATTGCATCTAATTTGCTTTACCGACTGAAAGCATTGTAAAAAACATTATCGGTAATTCAATTACATCGGATTTGATAGCTTGAGTGACCAGATTGGGCGAGTTCAGCCAGGGATGTTTTATTAAAATGTGAGACTACCTCCAGAGAAAATTTTAAAAATAATCATCTGTTTTTGGAGGTTAAAGGGCCAATGTACATAAGAAAATAGTAGTGGCATTTGCTGCGCAATTTTCGTTTCACTGCAAACCCGTGTAATTAATTATGATTTTATTTTTGTGCAATAGAAGAGAATAAATTTGAAATGAAAGATTAACCATTGATGCTTTAACTAAACTAACCACTAGATGTTTTTTCATTGTGTCTACAAAATGTTGGTCTGTAGAGCATAAGCTTTTGATAAATTTTCACTATAGTTATAAATGTACTGGCTGTTATGACTTGACTGATGTTATAGGAAACGAAATGTTCAGTAAAAGTTTACCTCTAACCAAACTCATTCATTTTTCAAAAATCAAACATAACCTATTTAGTTACGAATGGTGGTTAAAAACGTGAATGATTTTACTTGGTGTATAGTAGTTAACGATATTATAGTGTACGAGTATAGTCAATGAAAGTGAATTATCATGATAAAAGCTGGTTAATAATAGTCAACGTGTATAGTGAACGTTCTTGATATCAAAGAGCTGAAAAGGAATAAAAGAAAAACAAACTAGTTTTATATAATATGGTCATTGAACTATATTTCTCCGTGCTTGATTTTCTACAAAGGGAGAGATGTTTAATGAATAGAGGGTCACGTGTAAAAAACATTGACCCTAATCACATGTATACTGAATAAAAAACGGATCACTAGTATGCATTGTGAAGTTTCTAAGCTTGATGCTAAATTTAACTGTGTGATAAGTGGCAGAAGTACTTTGGGGAAGTATATTTTTTCCATTATTTTTTACCACAATTCTGCTCTCATTAAATAAAAAAAAAACTATAAATTAGTATATTTACACTGTGTGCATTATGCAATTTGGAGTATTCTGATTACTAAAATAAATATTAAGAACTTAAAATATGATTTTAAAAAGCCGGCATGTTTATTTTTTTTCTTTTACTATTTTATTTTCAATTGTTTTTAATGGTTGTACAAATATATATAGATATATAGGTTTGTAATCTTTTGGTTTAGCGCTTAAAGTTTTTCGTTTGTAAAATAATTTGAAACGCGATGGGTACAATAGCAATTTTATATAACTTCCATGTATAGTAATTATTGAATATTTATAAATAATTTATTGATGACAATATAATTAATACTTGTGTTTTTTATTTTAGGTGAGTAAACTGCAGCAATTGCCTAAGAATTAAATTCAATCCACATAAACGGTAAGACTATAATACGGGTTTATCGTTTTTTAAAATGTTTAAAGTTTTACTTGTTGCACTTCGCATAAAAAAAAAATATTGATAATCTAACCGTTTTGTACCTAAACACCGTTTAAAGCGTCCAGTGTAAACGTAAGCAATGTACTTGAACACGACTTGCACACATTTCTTTTTTTTTTTTTTATCTGGGTCGTCTTACAGCAATACATTTTTGGTCATTTGGTGAACTGCCAGCATGAGCTTGACGAATAGGAGCTCGATAAGCGAGTGCTGTATGAAAATTCACTTGCATTGTAGCCTTTGCTTGTGTGGCATTAAACCACACGCAGACTCGTCTTCTGTTTACTCGTCCGCCGTCTTATTTGTTTTGAAATAATTATTAAAGGGCATCCCGAAGTCGTTATCTCTGTAGAGAATTTAACTTGTATAGCAATTTTGTTTGGAACAACGACGATATGATTAAACGTTTATTGTATTGATTTATTATGCATACAAAATGTAACGATGCGTTTGTTTTACATATAATGAGATCAGCAGGTTGGAAATTGCGCCGCCGTTGTATCCGTCTCGTGGTAAACAATAATAATATAATATGATGGCAAGCGTGTCATCGAAAAAAGAACCATTAATCTCGCGCAATATTATGTACGACGTCACACATTGTTAGACTTATTTCCCCGTTAACGTCCCGCCGAATTGACAGTATAATCGGACCCCAATTAAAAACGAAACCCGTCGGCTTCAATGCCTATACGACGGGCGTTATCATGTATTATAATAATAATGTAGCAAAAGAATAATCACACGTACATATTACCCAGTTATTATGTAATATAAATTCCGGTCGCGGCTCTCTGACCGTCCACGGCAGGCACGCTCCGACCTAACGTATAATTACTATATTATTACTATAGTAATAATTTTTTTTAAGCCCCCGAAAATATTTGACAAACATCATACCGTGAAAAGTCCACCCACCCTATGCGTTGATACGTTTTATATAATATTATTATTATTATGTGCAAATTCGTTTTTTTTTATTCTGGTATATGCCACTATAAATCGGTGTATTTATGCACGCGGGTCACGTACGTCGTGCCGCCGCGGTTGTGTGTGTGTTACCGTTACCAACGTCTCAACGACAGTGGCCTTGACCCGAGTACATTCGCAGTTCCTCTGTACATACTTACTTGGGGTATTTTTTGTGTTTTCTTTCTTGGCGCGCGCAAGCGGACGGCCGAATGTCCAGTGTAAAACCAATATACAAGTGCCGTTTAAGACAATACACATCAGTGGCTGTACGTCTAATAAATTATACACTTACTGTACATACCTATAGTCGTCCGTGCAATGTTTACTGTTTAGGGGCGTCGAAGAAATTGATTTCCTCCGGGGCCACAGCACAAAAGTTCGGCGGCGGCGGCAGCGGAAGAAAAGAAAGAGGGCAAATGCGTCCGCCAAAAATTACGGTTTAACAGACACCGACCCCAACCGTATGTCGTCGTTATGCCACGCACCGACCAAACTTTATTTATTAGCCACGATGACCGGTCAGTGTTGGTGGACCATCGTAGATTGATCGTCGATGCTGGCACGCAAACAACTAAACGTTTTCCAAGTTAATTGAAGACAAATATTTTTTAGTCCATTTACTTATAGATTTGGTCTGTTCGATGACAGCGGAAGGAATATCGAAAAAACGCTTTCTACTACGAAATCGTACATTATGATAGGCGACAAAATCAAAAAAAATCCGTCACCGCAATCTGTGTAAAATATACATAATTATATTATATCAGTATTACGGCATTATATGCCATTGATTTATGTGTTAAGTAAGAGCACGTACACCAAACGATTTTACGACCTATACAATGTTCCGAAACAACGTTAACAATAAAACACGTACGTAGTAGTAATAAGTGTCATAACCGTATTTTATCATACATTGAACGCAAACCTATAAAAGTAGTCAGTTTTTAAAATCCGTTTATTTCCCGGTATCACAAATTACTGGAAAACGTTTCGCATTAATTATTTATTTGATTTCATTAAAGACCTGTTTGTCGATTTTATAAAAAATGAATTCAATGGTTTTAGTTCAATTAAAAATATCAATTATAAACTTAACAGATCGTTGAACAATAAAATGGATTCGTTGAAAATCATAAGACGGCGTTTCTCCAAAAAACATTATTTAGCAAACGAAAATTGCAAGCGACATATTACTATGTCAGGAGCGACCTTGAAACGGTCACCCATAGACCTTGGGACAAGCCGGGAATATAAAGGAATGGCTGTTGATTGATGTTTTTTTTACTTTTGTAATTGAAGCATATATTAATGATTCTGATCGACACATTTTGCTGATCGGAATACACATTAAACGAACAATTTTTTTGGGACTTGCCAAAAACAATAATGACGGCTCGTGATTTGCCATGGACACAAAATATGTAGAACTTCCGGTAAAATGTGCACGTACTAATTTACCCGAACACCAGCTTTTTCAGAAACATTTCGGTTCCGATCGCCCCCGGCGGCTCTCGCTTATAATAAAAATATATTTTCAACGAAACTGTGAAGCTAATTGTAGAGTTGGCCACGAAAAAGTTCAAACAAACTAACTATGATGACTATAATTATACAGTTTTTATTATTTATAACGGTTTTAATTGATGTTTGCTATCCCCTACATGTTATCCTCGGTGGATACCGTTGCGCAGACGTTAGTTCAGTCCTATTTATTATTAAAAAAACTTCACAAGATGGACAAAATATCATTTCGGCCACATTACGGTAATGATGTCCTCGACCTGCGTGTTGGTGAAAAGTTTAAGAACAACTCGGGACGTACAGGTGCGTTGCGTTGGTATTAGGTCTAGGGAGATAATGATTTTGCGCTGAAACTTTTTGTGCCTGCAGGTGTTTTCACCAAACGTCGAACTCCGGGCGATTAAACTTTGTGCGACGTGTACGCGATTTACTGTTTGTAACGGACGTTTTAATTAATCGAGAACCCCGTGTAGGTAGGTAGGGGTGCCTATCCCATACGAGCAAAGTTGGTTACTATAATATGACTTTGCGATACTTGATGCGTGAACATTGTACCTAATATTTTGTAATAATAATAACAAGTTGGACAATAAAATATCTCGAATTTCGCCGAACGATTACTATTGCGGTGTATGTGCTTATGCATTTTTATAATAAGGGTCTATGCGGTATATTCAGACCCTTTGACGTCGCTCTTGTGCCAAGTTCGGGCGCACACAATAGAGTTTGGAGTGTACGGTCTTTTGTCAATCCAATGACGGAGTGGGCCACTCGAGGCCCCTTATTTCGATACGCCATGTTAGCCGGTACCCGTAATTGACAAAATATTAGCAATAATAATCTCAAGGCGTTGTCGAATTTACTGCCACCGTAGGTCGGCCGAAGCGAATTAAGCGTTGCCGAATGTCGCTGTACAACACAATCGCACGATCGTACCTTGAGGTTTATACAATTTATATACCGCAATATCGTCAATTCGATTACAGTGAAACAGCTCTCATTACTACACCGAGTACTTGAGATTAAAACTTACACAAGTCAAACCCGTTTACTATAAAATTTCTGTCGAGTACGTTTGAATTGTCTGCGGGTCTTTGACCGCACCGATAGCGGGCGTCCGTCTTGTTTTTGACCACGTTACAGTTTTGACGGTATAAATAAAACAGGAAGTTTCGGATGATCGATCTCGACGAGTCATCTGGCTTTAAACAAAAACGAGAACGTGTAAAACGAGTCAAAACGGATAAAATAAAAAATTCTCGTTTTTAATGATATTCTTACCGGCACTAGGTGTACTTAAAAGGCGATTTTTGTTTGCTAAGACATTTTTCAGGTAGCTTTTTCCGACTACCCATTACCTGGCACGTAACGCTCCTCCGTGGATTTCGGTCAGCTGATCACAATAATTAGTCATTACGCATTACCATCGATGGTAGTCGATACTGTGAACAATACACTTTTGTTACATATTGTTGATCTGTACACATTTTTTTATATTTTTAAGTGACAACGGCCGCCTTTTTTTGTACGTGTCCTCTCTTTGGAAATTTTACACATTCGCTCCCTTTGAGAAATTCCCTTATAAACAAGGATATTATTTATTGTTACCTATATTTTTTTTTTTTTTTATATTTGACAATATTATTTATTTATTTATTATTATTAAACGGGCGAGCCCAATGTATATTATTATACTGTTGTCAAATACATTATAAGTGTATACGAATTAACATTTATAAAAAAAACCTCTCTTTCATCTTTAGTTTCACGCACATTATTACCGCTAAACATATTACTATAATATGTTTCTTTTTAGTTATTTTCACTGTGCATAATTCAGTTGCGCAATTTTTTAGTATTACACATTGTGAGAGCGTACCTTTTACATATATTTGTCCCTTTATATTTATTTATTATTTCTCTATGTTAAATCCTTTCCTTTCCTTCCTGTACTCGGATATTTTTGTTTTTTTTTTCGGCAGCGAGAACAATTCTCTGTTTGTCATTAGGACTTGTTGCTTAAAATTTTTTTTTATATTAAATTAATATATATTTGGTCTACAGTGCCGGTATTTTTATGAGTTATATTATTTGTTGATTCCGGATCTCCTGTGGAGGATTGTTAGTGCAATAAAACGTCGGGCGAGGAAGGTATTTTATTTGTTGGTCGTTATTTGAACAGGCACAAAAGAAATGCCTTAATGCAACGATCAAACAACACTTCCTTTGACATGACTACAAATATTTCATTCGGATATTCGCACTTGTCTAAAAAGGTTGGATAGTCAGTCGAACGGTTTTTTTTTTTGTTAAATTATTGACTCGCTTCAAAACTCCTCTTGACTTTCCTTTTTGCCTTTCTGTCAATTATTTTTAAAGTTTAAATTTCACTTCTAGTGTATATTTTGCCGTTTAGTGTTATTATTTAACTCATTTCAGTTGTA